CTATGGTGACCCTGTAGGGTTGGCAGGGCAAGAGACATTCAGAGGTGGTTTCCCATTGCCTGCCTCTGCATAGCAACCCTGGACTTCCTTGGTGGTCTCCCATCCAAATAGTAACCAGGGCCGACCCTGCTTAGCTTCCGAGATCTGATGAGATCAGGCTAGCCTGGGCCATCCAAGAAAGGATCAAAGACTCACAGAGGTGCAGCACTGGCTTGCCAACCTCCAGGTGGCACCCGGAGATCTCCTGCTATTACAAATGACCTCCAAAAAGCCAAGCTCAGTTTCCCTGGAGGAAATTACTGCTTTGGAGGGTGGACTCTATGGCGTTATGCACCTTGCTGAGGCCCCTCCCCTGCCCAAAGCCCGCCCTCCCCAGGCTCCCCACTCCCCAAATCTCCAGGTTTTCCCCGACCCAGGGCTGGCCACTCTGGACCGCCGCAACAAAACTCTGCACCTTCTCACCATGTTGTTTTAACCGTGTGGATCACTCCTGGCCAGGGGTCATTTCGTAGAAAAAGAGGTGCAGGAGCTCATTAGCATAACTGATTAGCATAACTTATTTGCATATGCCACACCCCCTGACATCACCGGAAGTGTGTCAGAAGGCAACATCCACTGCTCAGGCTCCACTGGACTGTTTTGGATTGCTAGCTATTGGACGTGAGGGACGTGCAGATTTGCCCTCACAGAGGAGGGAGAGCTTGTACCTGAAGGTGGGTTGGGGGGGCCCTCTGCAATTTACCTGGCTGCTTTTTGCTCCTCGTGGCCCGACTGAGGGCTGCTGGGAGCAGGGGGCAGGGCTTGTTGCATGTGCCCGCCCCCTGGGCTCCTTACTGCCAGAGCTCTGCTCCTGTGCGCTCCTGCAGGAAATGACCCCTGCTCCTGGCCTACCTCACAGGGCTGCTGAGAAGATAAAATCAGATCTGGCTTTGCAAAGCAGTGCCCTGGTAGCCTAAAAGAACTTTACCCCCTCTTCTTCTCCTCCTCCTCCTCCTCCTCCAGGCCCACGACGAGAGGAACTACCACATATTTTACTGCATGTTGAAAGGGATGACGCCCGAACAGAAGAAGATGCTGGGACTTGGGAAGGCAGCGGACTACAACTACCTCTCTATGGTGAGCACGGCGGTTTTGAGGAAAAGCATGTTGTGAGTTAAGGTTAAAAGCTGGACATTTTTGCTAGCACTTTAGCTTAGTTGTTGTGGAGGCAAGAAGCCCATGTCTGTTGTCCGCAGGCGGACAGCCTTCTGAACTAGAAAACACCTCCGTGATATCTAGTTCTCTGTTTTTTTGTTACTGGTTTGGTAGTGGCTCAGTGGTAGAGCATCTGCTTGGCACACAGAAGGTCCCAGGTTCGATCCCCGGCATCTCCAGCAAAAAGGACCAGGTGGGAGGTATGAGAAAGACCTCTAACTGAGACCCTGGACAGCTGCTGCCAGTCTGAGTAGACAACACTGACCTTCATGGACCAGGGGTCTGATTCAGTCTAAGGCCACTTCACGTGTGTAAATTACAACCTGTACAGAGGGCAGGTATCGGAAAGCGTAGGTCTTCCTGGAGTGGTCCATGCTTTGCTCTTAGATGATCTGGGGAGGGTCTGTGGCACCTCTGGGCATAGTCTTTCGTTTAAGGTTCTCAGGCACAAGGGCCCCGTTTTCTGCTAGGGGCTGTGAAGAGCCTCTGCCGGTCCCCAGCTCGGTGCCCCTGGGAGCCATGGTGCCTGGTGACACCTGTCTTGGCGTCTGCCAAGTGTTTTCAGAAAGTGGGAGTGGCCAGGTGGGGCTCCTGCCCAGCAGGGCTTCTGAGAGGCCATTCTGAGAGATCTGATTGCCTGTGCAGGTTCAAATAACGTTTCAGCAGCAGCTGCCACCGTCATATTGGTTTTATCCTCTTTCCTCTTTTGCCCCCCCCCCCCTCACTCCTTTTGTCCCTTTGTATTTGGGCTTCCTCTATGTGCGTGTGTGGATACGTCTCTGCCTCCCATGAAGGACATTTTGTGGCTAGCTCCGCCTCCCACAGTGGCCATTTTGTGGAATGTGCTCAACACTGTGTGTCAGAATTTCAACGGCGCGTTACCTAGCCCTATACACAGGAAATAATGGAAATATATATCTAGAAATATATTGTGTTCTATTGATTATCTTACCAAGGGCTATTTTTGGGCAGGAACGCACAGGAACGGAGTTCCGGCTGGCTCCCAAGTTGGCCACGCCCAGCAGGAACTCATTAGCATAATAGGCCACACCCAACAGCAGAAACTCATTAGGACTGGCTACATTAGGGGCATGTGGCCTAAAATGCAAAGGAGTTCCTGCTACAAAAAAAGCCCTGGGTTTTGAGAACAAACAAGGTAAACAGAATAAGAAGCAAAAGGTGGGTGTGGCTGGAGGAGCACACTTCTGGTAACATGGGGGTGTGGCCTAATATGGCAATGAGCTGTGCTGTCAGGGGTGTGACCTAATATGCTAATGAGTTTTTTCTGTTGGGTGTGGCCTATTATGCTGATGAGTTCCTGCTGGGCTTTTTCTACAAAAAGAGCCCTGATCTTACCGTATTTTGACGTCATGTTATTTTTTCCATGTTTTACGTTCTTATATTATGTGATGTCCTTAAAGTGTGTTTTAACAAATGATGTTTTATGCTGCTCATTTCCCCTTTTCTCTCTTTTTGTTCCGTGCCCCTTTAAATGGTAATAATAATAAAAAAAGAATTTCAGAGGGGCCCACAGGTTCAAAAAAAAGTAGGGGACCCCTAGAGTAGAAAATACCGTACTGGGATGCCCTGTGGTCGGACTTGGTAAAAGGCAGCTTCGTGTATCCGTGTGGTTTTGTCCCGTGTCCCCCTCCCTAGGGTCACTGCATTACGTGCGACGGCAGAGACGATAGCAAGGAGTACTCCAACATCCGGGCAGCCATGAAAGTCCTCATGTTCACCGATACCGAGAACTGGGAGATCTGCAAGCTCTTGGCCGCCATCTTGCACATGGGGAACTTGCGGTATGAAGGTAGTGTGCACAGGAAATAGAGGCCCCTTGGCTCAGTGGGAGGAATAAGGCTTTATTCCAATTATTCCAATTAGCAGACCTGAGACTCACCTGATAAATGCATTCTGTGATCTTCAAATATAGCCAGTTTGGTGTCGTGGTTAAGTGTGCGGACTCTAATCTGGGAGAACCGGGTTTGATTCCCCACTCCTCCACTTGCACCTGGCTGGATGACCTTGGGTCAGTCACAAGCTCTGGCACAGCTGTCCTTGAAAAAGAGCAGTTTTGTCAAGAGCTCTCTCAGCCCCACCCACCTCACAGGGTGTCTGTTGTGGGGAGGGGAAGGGAGAGGAGTTTGTAAGCCGCTCTGAGACTCCGAGTGAAGGGCGGGGTATAAATCCAATCTCTTCTCTCCTCTTCTTCTTCTTCTCTTTTCCACCCATATTTTCCTTGCTTGTGTGTTCCTGTTGTTTGGGGAGGGTGGGAGTGGCCACCAAGAATACAGTGCATCACTGCCCCAGACATAAGAACGTAAGAGAGAAGCCAGTGTTGGATCAGGCCAATGGTCCATCCAGTCCAACACTCTGTATCACACAGTGGCCAAAAACACCAGGTGCCATCAGGAGGTCCAGCAGTGGGGCCAGGACACGAGAAGCCCTCCCACTGTTGCCCCCCCCAGCACCAAGAAGACAGAGCCCCAGACCAAGAGTTCCTATCTATACCTTGTGGCTAATAGCCATTGATGGATGGCTCTGCTCCATATGCTTATCCAATTCCTGCAGTCTCACACTCTCAGCCCAGCCTGCCTCACAGGGTTGTTGTGAGGATAAAATAGGAAAGGAATGTTAGCCGCCATCAGTTCCTTGGCGGAAAGCTGGGATAACAACGTACTAGAGAAATCCGACCAGATCGATAGGTCTTAAACACACTGGAGCCGGCGGTTTCTTTCTTAAGCCGGACGTTTCTGCAGCTGTCTTCTCTCTGATTCTACGTGCTACAGCTCGAACCTACGACAACCTGGACGCCTGTGAAGTTCTTCACTCGGCGTCTCTGATCACCGCAGCGTCGTTACTGGAGGTGAGGTGAATTTCTCTGTTTCTCGTTTTGTTGTTTATCCTTCGGGGTTCCTTTATACCGGTCATGTAGCATTCCCGCAACTCCGCTTATGATCCAAGAGAGAGGATCACCTTGAAATTAGGATCAGTGGCATCTGACCCCTCAGCTAAGATTAATCAAGGGGCTAAAAGTTGTTGTTGGGTTGGTTTACTACCACTGAACTGTCATACCATTGAACTGGCTCTTCAGCTTGGAAACGGAGATGAGCACCGCAACCCTAGAGTCGGATTCGACTGGCTTTCGAGCAAGGGAACCTTTACCTTTACCTTTACCTTTACATTATATACGCTTGGGGTCCCTATTGTTTGGTTCAACTTTCAAAAGTTGTTGTTGGGTTGGTTTACTACCACTGAACTGGGTTGGCTTACTACCGTTGAACTGTCATACCATTGAACTGTCATACCTATTCTTGTCATACTTAGTATTTATGAATCGTGACCATTGTATTTGAATTGTGACCACCAATTCTACTTTATTTATTGATGTAATGTTACCATGTTTCAATAGACTTGTGTCTACTGGCAACTTGTGAAATTTGTATATTTGTTGATGCTCTACCCTTGCATTTTTGTTTCTTTATACATTATATAAAAGGAGCTGCGGTGGCTCAGGTGGTTAAGACGCTGAACTGCAGGCTGTGGAAGGTCGGTAGTTCAGCCGTTCGAGACCCGAGTGTGCCGCATGACGGAGTGAGCTCCCGTCTCTAGTTCCAGCTCCTGCCAACCTAGCAGTTCGAAAGCAAGAAACTGCAAGTAGATAAATAGGGACCACTTCGGTTGGACGGTAACAGCATTCCGTGCACCTTGGTGTTTAGTCATGCCGGCCACATGACCACGGAAACGTCTCCGAACAGCGCTGGCTCTTCGGCTCTGAAACGGAGATGAGCACCGCAACCCTAGAGTCGGACTCAACTGGCTTTTGAGCAAGGGAACCTTTACCTTTACCTATACATTATATACACTTGGGGTCCCTATTGTTTGGTTCAACTTTCCTCCAGCATGATTGTCTTTCCCAGGGAGTCCTGACTTCTCTTGATGTGACCAAAGTACGATAGTTGATTGATCTTAGCTTCTAGGGAGAATTCACGATTGATTTGATCCAAGTGTTTGTTAAGAGCTGTTGAGTTGCTTTCGATATATCAGTCTGTGACCTCCAAAACA